AAATGTGAAAATACACGCTCGATCTCCTTCTTAACCCAATATATTGCAGTTCTTTCTTCTTGGTTTGGTGGTGATGGTGTGAAAATACCCAGTGTTTTCAAACCACCGTTGACCCGGATGGTCAGACCATTCAGCCCAGAAATCATTCAAACAACCAGTTCCGTTTTATTCAAAACCCAAAATCTGGTCAAAAATCATTTGAAAAGTTCATAAATTATTGACCCGGGTGGTCGAATTGTCGATCCATTCAACGGTTTTTGACCATTTTCTTTTATTTTTTTAATTTTGCTGTCACAAAGGACCATCTGTTCGAACCGTTGACCCAAAAACCAGTCCCCAGAACGGTTCCATTTCTGGGTCGTTTTTTTAAACGTTGAAAATACCTGTTATTTCTTTCGGTACGCTATTGAACTCTGGCCAATGTTTGCTAGTATATCTCTTTCTTCTTTTTCAAGCTATCCCTCCACGTCACCCCTCTCTCTCTCTCTCCTCTCTTACGTGCAAATGCAGAAATGCATGTGCCACTCAATTAATGCCGTGAATAGGATTGATAAGCTTAAGCACACGAGACCCAGTAATTATGGAAAGTTCTTTCACATTTTTCCCAACTTTGTCACAACTGTGGGGGCGGTTTCCTCTAATTTTGTAAAGAAAGAGGGACGAGGGCTTCTAGTTGTAAAGCATTTGTAGACTTCAATAGCAATAGCAATAGCAAACCCACGAGCTGTAAGCAAGAAAAGGAGTCCAGTCTTGTTGGACCCCAATGGCCCATTCGTTTTCCTTGTCTTAAATCCCTTCAAAAGAGTTGGCCGGGCATACCCAATTCAAGCTGTTTCTATCAGGGGTATTTTATAGCATGGAATAGAAAATGGGTGGTATACACCATCTCTTAATAAGATAGTTGTTCTGCATCTTTGATAAAGATGTATAGATTAAACCACACCACACCTTCATATACATTCTACAAAGGTTGTTGTATTTTAATCCACATCTTGTGGTATGATTTCATGTATCTCAGTTGCAACATGGGTTAATACAAGATATGACAGTAATGACAGATTGGGAATGCTTCTCTGAAAGTCCAGCTAATTTTACAATAGCAAGTGCATAAATTCTTACCGGTGGTGACGATAGTTGTTGCAGTAGCAAATAACGAGGGTAGGGGTGCAAATGGATTGGACCATGATCCATTCCAATCTGAGATCTGATCATATTTGGTCAAATTCAGATCACCCCTATTTGGATCTTTGAGTTAGATAATAGGATCCAATCAGAAATCGGATCAGATTTGGATCACCCCTATCTGATTTGAGAAGATAGTATAATAGAAATTAGTAGAACTTAGCCAAAAATAACAACTAATTTCCATAAAATACTATATTTATCAAGAATTATCATAAATTGTTATATAATAGAAATCACCAGAAATTAGTAGAACTTAGGGAAAAATAACCATGAATTTCTATAAAATATGATAAAATAGATGAAATTAATATAACTTTGTAAAAATAACCATTAAATTCCAAAAATTAGTAGAACATAAGATGATAATTATTTCAAATTATCAGATAATATGAATTTAAATAAATCACAATAATTTGTCAAAAATTGCATTTCGTTAATGCACGAGTTGTGGGATAACCCAATTTATCTCTGATGGGACCGTTCCAAATATGAGCTACTATGAAAGAAAAAGAGAAGTATCTTCATTTCTGTTCCTCTTCTTTTGACGCATAGCATTCATTCAATACTTGCTAAATCTTACAAAATTCCTTTTCTGCAAACACAATTCCTCTTCTGATTATTAAGTAATTTTGTGTTGTTTGAAGGAGGACTTCTAATATTATAAGGAACCTTGCTTTCCAAAAGATGGTTTTTCTTGAATTATCAAAAAGCATTTTTGTTGTATTTGAATTTTCTGAAAAAGAGAAGCACAAATTCTTTCTTTTTTCCTGGTAGTGAGATTTTCAGACAGAAAAAGAAGACTTATATTACATGGTTAGTATTAGACGCAAATATAAATTTTGAACTTTGGCTGTGGGTAAAAAATCGAACCAAAAAGTGTTTCGAATGATTCTAATCTAAGGGCAAACACCTTTAAGCCCCAAGCACAAAGCCTAAGGACCTGTTTCAAAGACTGAAGCTTTGATCAATGAGAAGTGAGAATTGCTTTGTAGAAACTACTAAAAGATGTTTCAAGGGAAAGCTGCTTTTTTGGTTGAAGAACAATGAAATTGCGCATTTGGGTTTTTCATCAAACATTGCTTAGACTGTATGGGTGAGGCCGACTTAGGCTGTGTTTGTTTTGAAAGAAAAGGTAGGGAAAAGTAGGAAAATGTAAGGAAACCTTTAGGTTCAGTTTGGAAGGAGTACAAATACAAATTTGTAGAGTACAAAACCTTGTATTTTGTATTATTTTGTATATATTAATACTATATACATTTGTATTTGTATTCCTTCCAAATTAAGCTTTACAAATCTTGTGTAAGTTTCCCTATATCTTCCTTCCTTTCCCCACCTTTTCCTTTAAATCAAACATAGGCTTAGTGAAGCCTCAAAATGCCATGGAAAAGTCCTCCCAAATGAGCATTAAAGTTGGGCTTGTGTGTTTTTGGACTTTGAAAGCATGAATCCTCCCAAAGGCAACCTAGGTTAAGATCAAACTGGTCAAATGAGTTAATCCATGATATCATAAATAGTTAGTTTATAAATAAATATATAAAAAATTAAAAAATGTATAAAAATTTATAACGTTTCTACTAAATACAATCTAGGAGTGTGAATAGTTGTTTGACCAGCTACTATCCAATATCCATTAAGTAAAAAGGAGAGAGAGAGAGAGCATCATCATATTTTAGAAGGCCCCTCAAGGAAAACAGCTGCCGTGTTGCTTTTCAAATTATTCCATTTATCACATTCCTAGAAGAGCTAACATAGCTGCCCATAAATTGACTAAATTCGCAACTATTTGAGTTAAAACTTGGTCTCAAGTGCCTGATTTTCTCCGCAATACTATTATACAAGAGATATAAACGGAGTTTGTTGAGAAAACATCATCATTTAAGCCTTGACCGGTTGTCCCTACTGCATGGATCGGCTACATGAATCAGGTTTTTCCATTCCATTTCGTTCAGCTCCATATCCCAGCGTTAAATTATGCGCAATTAAATCATTTCGTATTTATTTTACCAAATACAAAGCTGTTAATTACAAAATAATGATTATTGACGAACTTTGTTGTCAAACTTAGATTGTGTCATATGGTTGAACAGTTTCAACATGACAACAGACGTTACCTTTTTACTATATAATGATACTTGCAGTGGCCTTACAATTATATGTTTATTACAGGGGGATTAAAGTGTAGGGGCAGAGCAGGGTACGTAGTACTGAAGTCCATTGATCTTGACTTTAACCATGCAGAGATTTCAGTCATACATGTTTGATCACGTACCTGAGATTGCATCAGCACCCCACAAGGCATATGCCCCACGTGCATATCTCAACATGCACAAGGAACATCTTCCATACTTGTCATTAAAAAATATTTTTAATACACGGTTAAAATATACTGTGAGGCGCTGATATGAATTCTCTGTGCCTCTCCATTTTAGGAGGGACCTGCCTGAGTGGCTATATCAACTAGGTCATCAACAGATGGGCATCTATATATGATCATCTCAAAAGTTCTGTCCATTTGTTTTATTTTTGGGTTATACTAGTATGTTATGTTGGAGCACTGTTCATTCTATATGCTATAGAAACACCTTATAGCCCTTCATTTCATGGTAGTTAAAGTTTTAAAATGGGACCTGAGGTGGGGCCACAAAGTTGCATGTATGTCAATATAAAGGAGGGTTGTGTGGTTATAATTCATTCTAGTATCGTATAGAATAAACAGTGTTTCCACATAGTAGCATTTGCTCCACACTATTCGTCTTTCTGTCTCACTTGTGGTATATGTAGTTTCAAGGTTATTTTGATCTAAATAACTTCAGACCTGCCTTAGAAAAATAACTTCAGAATATAATTTAGACCACTTATTATATTTTATTTATATACTTTTCATTAAATCAATTAGAGTGGTTGAATTGAATGGTCACATTATTATTTACCCATGACCCACTAACCTAAATGATTTAGTCTGGTCTGACCTTGATAACACTATATATAACTAGGGTTTCCGATGGGATTGTCCGCTTTGAAGAATTTCAATTATATTAGGTTCGGGTATTTTTTTTTTCCGACTACATCAGTCTGGACAACGAGACTCAATCTGCTCCTCACACTTAGCGCCTCACAAGAGAGAGAGAGGCGTTATTTTGAAACGTTCCTCTTAATTCAAGAAAGCGTTAGTTCTAAATTTACTTCGGTCTAAAAGTTTGAAAAGTACTTCAATGCCCTCTATTTGTGAATTTCCATTTCAAATTGAATCTGCTCTATCAAACTGGTAGGGAGCTGCTCACCAAACACTCCCTGAATGTTTAGGTTTCATAGTATTTAGCGTTTGGATTTTATCATTTTATGTGAAGGAACCAGGGATTATTTGTACGTAGCAGCCAGACATGTGGGTGTGGCCCTTAGAATGTTTTTGAGCAATTCATGGTTTGATCGTTCAGGCCCACGAGTAGTTGGTCAAATGAACGGGATTCTGCTTTTATGTAGATTTGAGGTTAGGCCGAGCAGTACTACTTTTGAATAGGAGATGGGTTGAACGGTCCGACCATCTGGATTAATGATTGGTTCAAACCACGTCCAACTAGTAATTAAAATATTATTAAAAGAATTATAAATTAATATTTTATAAGCTGTTACTGCCTGTAATTTACCAACTATAGAGAGAATAAAGGTTTCCCATAAGGCAGAAAACTTATTACACGTAGCGAATGAGCAGCGGTGGTTTCTTAAGACGTTCAACTTTACAACGGTAACCTCATTACCAACTCTGTGTCTCTGTCTATATATATCAAACCAGCCAGGCTTCCTCTAGCTGTTACAGAACCTTGCGTAAGAGGGCATTCTAGAAGCTCCCTCTCTCTCTCTCTCTCTCTCTCTCTCATTCTATAATCTGAAATCCGTTTTTCTCCAGGTGGGTTTCTCTGGTTCTTCAGCGTTCTTCTCTGCAGAGCACAGAATGGAACCCTGGAGATTTCTCCGGTTTTTGTTTCTAATGGTAGCCGTCTGTAATCTGTGTTTATCCCAAGCTCATGATTTCTATGTTGGTGGGAGATTTGGATGGGTGTTAAACCCTTCTGAGAAGTACAATGACTGGGCTGAAAGAAACAGGTTTCAAGTCAATGATACCCTTGGTAATCTCTCTCTCTCTCTCTCTCTACCAATTGTCTTCTTCATCTGTTCTTTGCTCTTTTTTCTAGGTAATGTGATTTGATTTATGGGTATTTTTTGTTTTGCAGTTTTTAGATACAAGAAGGGAGAGGACTCGGTGTTGGTTACAAGCCCAGAGCACTACTATTCCTGCAATACATCGGAACCGATTATGACTATGGTAGATGGGTTTTCCAAGTTCAAGTTTGATCGATCGGGCCCCTTCTACTTCATAAGTGGAAATCCCGGAAGTTGTGCCAAGGGTCAGAGGCTGATCGTCGTTGTTTTGGCTGTGAGAAGCAACACCAACAGTACACCTCCTCCTCCTCCACCTCAGATTTCTCCTTCCATTCCATCTCCACCTCCCACAGCCTCTCCACCCAAAGCACCGTCGCCCGTGTCTCCTGCTCCTAGCTCCAAGACACCAGTTCCATCTCCTTCCCCAGCCAATTCACCCGTATCGCCTTCTCCTTCATCGTCTCCACCGGTGTCGCCCACACCTCCTTCGTCTTCTACAACTTTCACACCCTCTCTGGTTTGGGTTTGGGTTGTTTCGCTGGTAGTGAATGTGGTTTTGGCTAGCTTTAATGGCTCCCTCTAGATTGATAAAAATGATCATAAACAAGTATTGATTTTTCGGAATAATTTTATCCGCATTTTTCATTAGGAAGAGGGGGTGGCTTTATTTTGATTTTTTCACTGTGTTAAATGGTTCTTTGATGTAAGGTTTATTCAAATTGGTATAAATATATTGGTTCATACATGTCCAAACCTCTTATCTGCTTCGATCAATTTTTGAGTCGTAATTCTCTCATTCTCTCTTAGAAGCAAAGAGACGTGGCCTGAGAGAGAGAGAGATGGTCGGTCATCTGAATCTGACTTGTCTCAGATGACACTCGGATTGAAACGGATCCGACGTAAAAAGTATCATCTTGTGAATGAAGAGGACAAATACTGCTACGTTTTCTACTCGTTTTCATAGACGACCGACTTTCATTTGCAGACATGCAGAACTGCCCAACCATGAATATGCTTCGGTTTTAGATCCAATTGCTTTGTCCAGTTCTATAATAAAAAATAAATTATAAAGAAATGCCACGAGTATAGAATTTTGTTTACCAGAGCATGCAAAAGAATAAAAAAAAAAGTAGCACATCTGTCATCAATGTATTTATTGAGTCCGGAGCTCATGCCCACCAGAATTCTGCCCACATTTATCGCAGTCATATATGAAGAACATCTTATATCCTTTGCATATACAAATATTACGCAGTGAGAGGTATTCCTAATTTACGGGTAATGTATTGTGGATAGGCGTGGGCAAGAGATTCGGAGTGGTATTAAATAGTCCTCTATAATATTTCATGTGCAGCCCAGCCCGCATTCAAAATTTGACAAAATCTGAACCGGCCTGGCAATTGGATCGAATCAAGTTAATTTTGGGTCGGGTCAGCAAAGGTTAAGACCCTAACCTTAAATATCAGGTTACAGTTGACCCACAGGTTAGATGGGTCAATGTTTCATAACCACGCAGGTTAATTGGTCTTTGATCTAAGTCAATGATTTTTGGCAGAAATATAGATTTAACCATCTGATTCAAACAGTCCAACCATCTGGTTCGAGAATATTGGTTTTGAAAAGAGGTGACTTGGTGACAACCCGTGGCCCGACCCGACACAACATACCAGTGTTGTAAGACTCAAATTAGACCAGATGATAGGAACGGTGGTTTTTTAGGTCCGATCCGACTATAATCCAGTCCGAGTCTTACAACATTGTTATATACAATTGAATGGATCTTATATTGCTACTCTTGCCTGGTTGAGTGGAATCTTGTGGTCCGAAATGAAAACCAGGTGGTGCATTATTTTGGCTAGTAATTAAGGAATATAAGGATATCATCTTAATTATAACTGATTGAATTACGTACTGTAACTTTGTAATAAAAAGAAAAGCAATTGGCTTTGTTGTAGTGGGGCATCTAGTCCTTAGAAATGAATTCTATCTTTTATAAAAGTAGAAGAAGATGGATGGTACGTGTATTGATGGATATGCTCTGTCTATTATTAGTATAGGAAAAAGAAAGAATTAACAGTGAGTACTCCTCCAAAGAATCTTTCTATAGCAGGCACTATGAAGACTTGTATGGATGAACTTGACATTGACAACGAATGAGCCCATCAGGTTTGACATAAGCATTAGGCATGATCATTTCTGTCCACGCCCGCATTACCTGGCCTGGCCCGGCTTACGCTTACATTAAACCCTACACATAATGCGGCCCAAGTTTGATACTTGAAATCTTAGGCTTGGGCCCCAATTCACGGGTGGGTTCTCCACGTTCTGTGCTAATGGGCCCTGTGTACATTGTCATCAACCCATTGACTAGGCGTAGCTTACATGTCTTAAGATTTAAGAGTCCACTATGACCAAAAAGACATGATACCTTAAAAAAAGATGATAACCAATGAATCTGTATCATTACAGTGGTAAATGATGAGGGGTAATTTGGCCCGACCTAACAATACTATGACATGTAGAAGCGACCTGCTGATTGGATGATGACTCGACATTCTCTGCCACCTCAGTGAGTCAGATAAGCTCGGGTACTTCAGGCACCTTGGCCAAGACTGAGGTCCGAGCAGCTCGTGATGACCTAACCTATCGAGGTGACATGTAACCAACTATCTCTGACCTCTCTGAGATCACACTGCATGTCTGCAAGCTCTATCCTTATCCCCCCCGGATTGGACAGACTCGATAAGCCTTATTAGCTAGCATGAAGTCCACCTCCTGGTGTAGAATGGATTCATAGTAACACGGGCCGGGGATCTCGGAGGTGTTTCGTATGACCTACAGTAGCTCACCTATATAAGGGAACCAACCCCAACGTCACAAAGTATGCATGATTACTTGCTCACTAGCCTTCTAGAATACAATCTTTCAGTTTGCAGTCCAGATTACTAAGGGCCCGTTTGGCAAGTCTTTTTGGGAAGATCTTCTCGTAGCTCTTACAATCAATAGACGTAGTGAGCTTTTGACATAAGATCTGGACAACTCGAGTGTTTGGCAGATGCACGTCTTTCTGTGCATTGTTTTTGGGTCTTTCCGTGTGAGGTTAAAACATGAAAGACGCGGAAAGCTTCATTTGGAGCTTCCCGAAATCAGCCCAAAATGGGCTTCACGTGTCTTTTCAACACCGCGTCTTTTGGTGGCTAGATCTTCAGCATGCCAAACGGGAATAGACCGATTTTCGGTCTTCCCGACTTGTAAACACCCGAAAGACTATGCAAAAAGATGTGCCAAATGATGCCTAACTTAAACATCAGAGCACCCACACCAGGTAAACCACCCCGGGTCTTCTGAGTATTCCTTTCTTGCAGTTTGACCAGCCAACAAAGTGGATTGACATCCGAACTGCCCTCCAACTAAGAGGATCCAGATCGCGCACTATCAGTTACGTTTGGCAAGCAAATTTGGATCTCCTATACATTTGGAATATCTCCCTATGAACGGTAAATGACAGCATGGAAGATGTTGCCCATGAATAACAACATGAGGAGATGTTTTCAATGTACAGCTGTAGTGTCCTATGGATAATTTGGATAGGAGATTCTAATGATCATCTAATGATCATGAGGCTTCTCAGCCCATCTTGGAAGGACTTTTGATTTCTTAGAGGGTATTTGATATCAATGCGTTTCACTGGCGTTGAGTTTCATAAGTATTCTAGATTTATAAGTGTTTCAAGGCAATGCAAAAAATGTCAATTTGCCGATTCAAGAAACGCCTCTATTTGCGAATCTAGAAGCTCGTCATTGCAACAATTAATGTTGTTTTAGAAAGAAAAAAAAAAAAAGAAAAAAAACCGGCTTGCCAATGCCAAACGCATTTAAATTGCATTTATGTATGTATTCTTTTCTAATGTGGCAAACTTGCCAAACACCCACTTAGTTACATATATACTTGCACTCTGTGCTTCTATTTGCATGGAAATGCATTCATGGTTTAGCCCCCACTAGAGTTTCTCTTGCTATGATGTTTTTGATGGGGATTATTGATAGTGTATGCCATTTCTGTGAGCAAGCAATCACGGTTCACGGAGACCATTTCTCACATCTTCTTCCTTTCTCCCATGTCAACAATGATACAGTTTGGTTTAGGAGCTCCGTTTCTCTTCACAGTTTAAGTGAGATTAAGAATTGGATGACTTGGTAGTGGTGGTGCAAGGATAGCCATGGCAGGATAGTTTTGGCCTTCTCGTACTTCAGCTGCACAGACTCAGTTCATCGAGATAATAAGGCTTTGTTTGGGAATGATGCAAATAAAGTGTGAATGCAAATATGCAGCGTGTGTAAAATGGTTCATGTAAATGTAAAGTTGGGTTATGATGAAGGGAAATTTGGCCCGACCTCATAACAGGGAGATCCGTGGATGTGACTTGGCATAAGTGACAACTCAACATGATCAGATCGGCACGTGGGCGTGACTCGACGCAAGTGACAGCTCAGCATGATCAGTTCGCTACAAAGCGACCTCGGGTACCCTGATACCCCGAACTAAGATCACCCCGGTATAAGATCGCGATCAGGATAACGATATCAAGTTCGCTACAGATCGAACCCGGACAGATGGACCACCTCGGAAAGAATCCACCTCGAGACAAGCCTACCTTGGTGCAAGATCACCTTAGTACTAAGGCACTTCGACATTCAGAGCATGTCAAGCGGCCCGGTACTTCACAAGCAGCTCGCTACCTAGTCAGGTCGACCTCCGCATGACAACCCCGAGGATCTCACCACCGTACCCCGCATCTTACGGGACCGTACTTTGTAACGGCTACATTAGCTCACCCACTCCTCGATTCAGGCGGAGGTGGTTAACCTTACCGGTTGGTGGCATTATCCCCACCTAACACGGAAATGGATCCCCTCACAGCGAGGATCTAGGAATCAACTCCACCAAACCCGCGAGGACTCTAGTATATAAAGACCTCACCCCCCACGGGCGAAAGGTATGCATAATCTTTGCCCTCTAGCTCTCTAACTCTCTGATATCATCTTCAAGCTCTCTACTACTAAGTGCTAACTTAGCCATCGGAGTGTCCCTGCCAGGTAAGCCACCCCGGGATCTCTGACTCCTTCCTTGTAGGAACCTCAGTTCTCGTCGTTGCTGACAGCCATATCGTCTCCAACAGGGAGCAGCCGGATTACGCCACATCAAGTTAGTTTTGCATTGACAAATTTACTTTCTTACTAAACAGACTTCTAGTTGTAATGGATGTAAACATGAATCCCAATAAAATATATAACTTTTTTAACAAAAGCCCACATTGAATGCAAATTTACTTCTTTTTTATCAATGTACGTTTACATCTCATTTTGAATGTAAATATGCATTGAAAAATGTATTTTCTGTAATTTGTCAATGCATAATTGTATTCTTGTCAAACACTGAAAAACTGAATGAGAGTACATATTTACCCTGAGCTAGGGTTTATACTCCATTTGCATTGTTCCCAAATGGAACCTAAAGAACTCCATTACCACTGAATGTTCACTGCATTATATATTATATAAATATATAATAAAAAAAACTAGAAATATATATATATATATATATATATATATATAATATTATGTTTTAAACAATAAATAATATATTACATATTATAAATAAATAAATAAATATATGTATATATAATGCATATTTATTAATTTATAATATATAGAAAATATAAAAAATATATAATATATATAAAGT